GCGTGATACTGTGACACGCCCACCGGGGTATGCCGCGAAATACCTCACCCATTTTGAATGGCTGCATCTGTAATGAGCTTCACCAATAATATTTTTATTTAGGCTTTATGGCCTTCTGTGACGTAATCTATGTTATATACACATAACACTCATATTTTTGTATTTTGCAAACAGGGGAAGATGTCTGAGAAGGCAAAGCTTTGTGTGATTTTTGATAAGCATGATATTCGCAAGCTGCTATTACCTTCTGGAATTCCAGATACAGTTCAAGAATTGGATTCAATAATTAGAGAGACATTTCAGACACAAGGAAACTTTACTCTCCAGTACAAAGATGCTAAATTTGGAGAATTCTTCTCTTTAACCACAACAGCAGAAATCAAAAACAAATACACTATCAAAGTAGTATTTGTAAACCCAGTAATTTTAACTTTCTCTGAGATTGACCAAATCAAGAATACCTCTCCACCCTCAGATGTCTCATCAATTGCCTCTTCAGTCTCTTCATCAGCTGACACATTACTGCTGTCTTCTCCAGAGAGCCATGGTCAGCAATCCCAGCCGTGGCACGCATGTTTTGAAATTCCCCAGTTTGCCAATTCCCTGTGATACTGAGTTGATTCTTGACATTGGTAATAAGGCATTTCAGAAAAGAAGGAACTCTTCTAATCAATCCAAGTATTAAATCTAAAATTCTTGAAATATTGGCTGAAAATATTTATCAATATTGTGCTTATCCAACAAGCACTCAGATCAGTGCTGGTGCTGAGGCATTAATCCAAAAGCATCCCTGCTTGAGAGAGCCAGGTTCATACTCTGGACACTGTGGATGGCAAACATGGCTGAAATACAAGATGGCAAACTACAGGACCAAACTGAGGAGCCTTGGTTGCCCAGAGCTAGCTGTGAACTCTGTCAAGAATAAATCTTCCGCAGATCTCCCCCCCGCAACCTACAGGAGAATCCTTGCAGACTCTGGAAAATGAGAGGATTGCCCTACTGAGTGAAGTCAGGAAAAAGGATAATTGGAATATCGTCAATGAAACAATGGCTAAGAACTTTTCCTATAGAAGGCAGGAGACTACCTGAATCTAACTAAAGTTAAATTAACTTTGTGGATATGAACTTTGATGGTTATTGTGTGGTCTATTTGGTGTCTGTTTTTTTTTTACTGGATTTTTACTGGATTAAAACATATAGAATTGTTTTCATTAGAAAATACACTTTATTGAATCAGTTGATTAATTGCTTTGGTTTAAGGCATAGATTCGAACTATAATCTTAATGTCAACTATTGCCAAATAATACATCAGTCAGATTCTTGCTGAGCAATATTTGAAATCATACTGTCACGCAGGGGCTGACTGTGGAGGAATAGGGATCCAATGCGGTGCTCTAGGTAGGGTTGGCGCTAGACGTAGGTGTAGTCGGAGTAAACAGGCAGGGGTCCGAGTCCGGGAAGGCATAGTAGAAGCGTAGGCACAGAATTGGTAGGCGAAGGCATAATAGAGGAAGCAGGCTGGAGTCCGGGAAGTGGATTTGGAAGGCAGAGGCGTAATCGGAGACAGGCAGGGGTCAGGATCCGAGAGAGCGTTCTAGAGGCAAAGGTACAAAATCAAGTGGCAAAGAGGTAGTCTGAAAAAGCAGGGTCGAGGTACAGGGGAGAATCAGTAGTAAGGCGAAGGCGTAGATAGTAGGTAAGCTCAGGGAGAGAATCTCAATCGTGAGCACTGACCGGGGCGCTGATGAGGGTTTAAGTAGAGGACTGATTGACGCCTGCACGTTTGGTACGGGGAGAGCTCACGGGAATGCGGGAGCGCTTGCCTGCGTGAGGGAGATTCATGACACATACGTTCTTATTTGTGTTTCAGATCAAACATGAATTCAAAAGAATAACCACTATCGATCTAGAAGTAACATTTATGGCAAATCTGGACAAGTACACTTCTGTCTTTGTTCCACAATAAGGGAGGCACTGCTCGACAGAAGATGGGTTTACTTATGAGTAAGATGAAGCAGGTATATACAGTACATGACTGGTTCACTCTCACTGTTGTATAGTCCTTCTTTGTTTGTCATTTTTGGTATAATGCAGATGCAACTTGATGTTAATTCTTGAATAAATTACAGTACATATTTTATTTTGTTTGTAGAATGACACAGTTTAAAGGCGCAGAAAAATTGTTATCCAGTGTTTGATTAGTACCTATCCAAAAATAGAGAGAACCAGGTGAGAAAATGCAATTAAATTTTAGGTAGTTTCATTTCTTATCACAAAACAAGTGATTTTGGCACCCACAATCTCAGGCTGTTCTGAATTTATTCTGTAGTCAGAGATGGTTAAGGGAAGCATTCCTCTTGTGCCATTTTGTACAGAAAAGTAATTGTACCCAAAATGGACACTTTGCCTTGGTTAGATTTTTTGATAGACAAAAGCACATTGCCATCTACGTACACTAACGTTATTTCATGTGAAGCTTTATTTTCAGAACTGAATTATGGTCACTCATTGTGTTGAGTTATTTGTGAAGACATTGCAGTTTGCAAGCATTCAAATCTCTAGGCCTCTAAAGTTTCCTGCAGCTTTGCAAGTACATTAAAAGAACATGAGAAATATGTTTTTATTTAATTTCAGGACACTGATATGGACCTTATCCAGGAAGAATTTACATAGCACATGATGAGGGTTTACACCAAAGTTGGTTCTTCTGAGGATGAGCCTTCAGAGGTTTGGGTTGTGCTGGAAGGTACAGGTTGGTTTGTCATGTTCCATGCTACTTGGCTTGGTATATGTAGTGAACCTGAGTTATCCCAAACAACTCAGGTAAACATTTGAAGTTTTCCAAAAGATACTGTTGCATTTTGACAATGGAAAACTTTCTCCAAAGGTACATTTTCTCAAGAACAAGTTGCTTAGTTAGACCTGTGAAAGAACTTTAGATTTCCTACTGTTTACACTAAAAAGTGTAAAGTAGTATACATATATTATTTTATCTTGTTATTGAAATAATTGAGACTGTTGGGAAATGTTTCAAGGTTTGTTCAGTGAAGGAAAAGCAAATTCCTTTAAAATTTGTTTAGATGGTAAAGATTCAAGTTTTGACATTTTTATTGTTTGAAACAATATTTATTTTGTAATGGTGATAGGGTAAAGGCTTATCCACGTGTCGGCAACGATCAGAGCATGTCTAAACCACAGTACTCTTGAGCAGTATTGCTGGTGTTTATTGATTTCAATTGATTTTGTTTAGCTACAGAGTATGCTCAGTGGTTTTCATATTACAGATAAACTTCAGTATGTTTTTGTTTTTTGCTGTTATACAAGAATGTTAATAAAATTATTTATATTGTGCATTTCCATAATATTGTTCTGTGTGAATTTACTTTAAGTTGATTAAAGTACATCATGTTCCTGTTTTTTTTTTCTCCACAGCACACAGCAGGAAAATAACCACATTAGAATTACAGGTACATAGGAAAATTGAGGCAGTGTTTTGTACACACATTACTTAATTAATACAACATAACATTTGAAGTTAGTATGACTTCATTGATTTAAGTGATCCTAAAATAAGTAAACTAAATATCTTTAGTTGGTTCAACACAAAATGTTAGGCTTATATGGCTTACTTTAAGTTGAGTTGGTGTTAATTAAATTTTTCAAGTAAACATTTTTGACTTAACATTGAAATGTATCTTTTGGTAATATTATTTTCTAGTATAATTTAATTAATACATTTCCTTTGTTGAATATACTTAAAAAGCTGAATGCAAAATGTTTCCTTAATTTTTTTGGTAAATTCAACACATACTTTTTTACAGTGTGACACAGTATTACAGTAAGATATGAGAGAAGCTAGTTACAATATATTGTCCAAAAGAGATATTGCAATGGGAGTTGAAGTAAGACACAAGATGTAAAAAGGGTTAACTTAAGTTAGTTCTGCCTGAAAATTAGACTTCTAAGCAACAGGGGTTTATGGCAGAAAAGGGGGTTAACTGATAAGGATTCCAGATGCAAGCTAGGAACCCCCTGGGGGCGTAATCTTAAACTGACCATTTGGACAGGGTCTCTTAACTGGCCAAATACCATGATCTCCCCCTTACCATAACACCGAATGACATCCGGAGCAGCAAGGAAGGACTATATAACCTAAAAGTTTGTACCGGCACATCGAACAATACTTCGGTTTTCTTGTTTCTTGCTGGAAACAAGACTTCGGCTTTATTGTTCCTTGCATGCAATAAACTCATCTGTTTAACTTCATCTCGGGATCCAGAACCTTATTCTTTCTGTTACAACAGAGTGAAACATTTCCTGTGACTATTAGTATTATACAGGGGAGAGGGAAGTGTCTCCCAGACAGGAGAAGTGTGAACTTGCAGTGGAAAGGGTGAAAGACACAATCCATAATACACATTGATTTCTTTACCATCCTCGTTTGTAGAGGATATTTAAGGTGATTTGATATGCCCCAATTAATTTGCTACTTAATTTGACTAGTTTTTCCAGTGTATTACAATCAATGGCACCGACGTTAACAAACCAGACAGTATGTTAATACACTTTCAATGAAAGACAAAAGAAAAGTATTAGGATGATCCTATCTGTCTTGAAGTAACCTAGTTTTCTTAGAGTCTCTGTTGTCCCTTTTTATGAATTGTGTTGCAGCATTTGTTCCAACTCAATTTTTTGTCTATGATCAGTTCCAAGTACTTGTAGTCATTGACAATTTCTACAGTCTGATCAATAATTACAGTAGGTTGGAGGGGTGTTGCATTTTTCCTAAAATCAATTATTAGCTCCTTTGTTTTATAAACATGAAAAAAACATAAAAAACACTGAACTGCAAAGAGAACTCATCACACCATTTAGTGAAGTCATTTATAATGTCAGATAAGCAGTTCACCAGTTCCCCAATTTGACCTGTTGAGTCCTATTTGTTAAAAGGTTTAGGGCCGTGGTTCTCAAACTGTGATACGCGTACCTCTTGTGGTACACAGAACACCCCCAGGTGGTACGCCATATGACCGTGGAAATTTGTTGTGTGCACTGAAAAATTCAAAATTGCGACAGTTTTTCATATTTTCTATTTTAATAAAATTCGTTTATGTGTCAAATACGCTGCCTACTGTAGTACTTAGCTACGACAATACAGTGCGCACTAATACTTGAGTGAACACAATAGCTACTGTGTAATTCTATACCATTATATAGGAATGCGTGCTACGAATGTAAGTGACCAATTGTATTTTAGAAAAGTTATCCCCAGCAAACAGAAAGGTAGGAGAGTGTGTGTGATTTTGGAACAATGCTAAACATGTAAGCACAAGAAAGTGTGATAGATAACAGAAAAATATTTAAGGACAGGACAGGTCAGTTTGAGAAAAATACACCAAGCATCTCCGTTTCACTCCCATGCACATGAAACAAAAACTTCTTTTAACTTCTGAGATGGACTCCTGACTGCCTTTTAAGGGGTGACAAGGTGGTACAATCCAAATTATCTTAATTTTGGATTTACTTACAACGGGACGGAGAAAGAGCTGAGACCACAGTGTGTCGTGTGCTGTGAGATTCTCAGCAGTGAAAGCATGAAGCCAGCACATCTGAGGTGGCACTTTACCACGAATCATGCTCTCTTGAAGGATAAGCCTGTTGATTTTTCTCAAAGGAAACTTAAAGATCTACCATAAGGATCAGTGTCAATCTAGTTTCCAAAGCCCAAGAAGCATCTTACCATGCAAGCTTGCGGATTGCTAAAGCAGGTAAGCCCCACACTATTGGTGAAGAACTTTTTAACATTGGCAAAAGAGCTGACACGTATTATATGTGGAGAAAAAGCTGCTAAACAGCTCAACCTGGTGGCCCTTTCGAATGACACAGTCACTCGTAGAATTATTGATATGGGAGATGATGTCAAAAATACGCTGACAGAGCGCGTTAAGATGAGCAGATGCTTTTCACTGCAATTATATGAGTCTGTAGAAGTAGTTGGTTTTGCCAATTTGCTTGTTTCTGTTAGATATGAGTTTGAGGGCATATCCCATGAGGACTTTCTGTTCTGCAAGTTGCTACCAACAAGAACTACAGGAGAGCACATATTTCAGCTTCTGAATGAATTTATCGAAGAGAATGGCATTGACTGGAAAAAAGGCATTGGATTTTAGAGGGGTTGCTCCAAATATGAAGTGGACGCACTGCAGCATCCACCGTGACGCCTTGGCAGCCAAGAAAATGCCTGAGGATTTAAAATCTGTGTTAGACTCTGCTGTCAAAGTTATGAATTCTATCAAGGCTCAACCAACCAATTCACGTCTGTTCAGTGTGCTTTGTAATGAAATGGGCAGGTTTTGCTACATACTGAAATGAAATGGTTATCAAGTGCTCACAAGGCTCTTTGAACTGCACTCTGGGGTACAGATGTTTTTGGATGACCAGCAATCTCCCTTGGCAAGTCTATTTGATGATCCAGTGTGGCTGGTAAAATAAGCCTACCTGGCTGATATATTCACACGTTTGAATGAGCTGAATATGGGACTGCAGGGGCTTTTAAACAATTTTTACATGTCTGACAAGATCACTGCTATGAAGTAAAAGCTGCAGTTTTTGTTAATAAAATCAACATAAGTGATGTCTCTGTTTTCCCAACTTTGGAGAACTATCTGCACACATATGGTATGGTACTTGATGCTGCTGTTCATGATATGATTGCAGTGCACCTCTTGTCATTGGAAGAACAGTTAAGGGCCACACCAGAGTGGATCAGGAACCCCTATACTGTTGATGTCATAGGAATACCCAAGGATCTTGTTACGATCCCTGCCTCTCGGCAACGAAAGATGCAGAAGAAGGCGTAGCATTAGTTCATCAGTCCACCTATCACGGTACGCGTTCACCACCACACCTCCGTCTCATCTGGTATTTAAGCATTAGGCTTTCCCTACCTCCTCGCTCAGTATTGGTTTCCCTTTCGAGCTTCTTAGTTGCGCTACACCTTCAACCTCCTCGTACTGTACTGGTTCCGACTTTGGTTTTTCCCCTTCTACTACGTCTATTGGATAATGGCTCGGCTTCGGTTGCTTTCTTCTAGTTTGGTTCTCTGGCTTCCCTTGGATTCTCAGCTCTCCCCTTCGTCTACGGTTTTGGATTACGGTTTGGCTTTGGCTACTCCCTCTCGGTTTGGATCACTGGCTTCCCTTGGACTCTCGGCTCTCTCCTTCGGCTACGGTATTAGGATCACGACTCGTCTCTGTTGGCTCCCGCAAGTGGGTTCACTACTTGGTTTCGGTTTCTCTGACCGAATCCGTAACAGATCTGACCTGTGCTGAACGAGTGAAGTTGCTCGAGTTATCATCTGATGTGACTTTGATGTCAGAATTGAAACGACAACCACTGTTGGATATCTGGATCCAAAGACAAAGTTAATACCCAGCCCTCTCATTAAAGGCTGTGCAGTTTGATAACCCTTACAGTAAGATCTGCCACCTGTATCCAGGCAGATTGTTATATGTTTTATGCAAAATTTATGTATTAATAAATGATCTTGTTTATTGAACTGTGTGTGTGGGTCGCTGATTGATTGGTTTTCTAAAAGCCATAACGAACCACCTCGTGATTGCTGCTACAATTATTAAATTGTCCCAGTAAATTCACAAAACCCCTACAATCATTATCATAACTTTTTTGCGATCGTTTTAAAATTACAAGCAGTAAATAAAAAATGTGTACAAAAAAATAGAAGAAAAGAAAGAAAACAAGACAACAAACAAAAAAAAACTAACAAAAACAAGTGAGAACAAGGATGTGCCACCAGTCGCTACAGAG